TTATTAGTACAGTTTTTGAGAAAAACTAAGTCAAAGCTCGACAAAATAAGCACCAAGAAATAGGTACTTGCAAGGATGGGGCCTGGGGAAGGGAGAGGGAATGAGGCCAAGGGGAGACCCCACCACCGACCAAAATTATGAAAGGGGAGATAGTGGTTGGAGAGGATGCAGTCAAGAAATCATTGTATCTACCACAATATAAGGGAAGGGGCGGGTTGAAAGGGGGTGAGATTTTTGAAGGGTTGATACAGGTCAAGATGCATTGTATTCATACGCTCCTTTGTTAAATAATCCCTCCCTTGTACAACTACTTAAAGGTAAGTTTAAAAAATAGTAATGAAGTTCTGGTTAAAGGAATTGCAGTTGAGAGACAGTGAATACAAATACCACAAAACTCTTTGGTAGCAGAAGCAACTGAAATGATGAATTTCTTTCTCATTCTCCAGATTCTTCAGCTACAACAAAGTACAGGAGTCTTTTGTGCTAAACATCTGAACAAGAGGGTTGGTAACAATAACTGAGCTCCACCCTGGGATTCCCACACACGGTGGTGGAAATCACTGAGCTTGCAGCTGCAAAGGAAGGTGTGCAACCAGGAATTCACTTCCAGGCAGACAGGATGCAGATGCATTAAGGGCTGCACAAAACAGAATAGAACCGCTTCACTTAGGCTTTCAGAGCACCGGGAATCCATTCTCTCTCTCTCTGTCTCTGTCTCTGTCTCTCTCTTTCTCTTTTAGAGACTAACAAAATAAGAGTACTTTTCAGTAATGCAAGAGTTGATAAGAAGCCTTTAGATGAACAATGGTCTGAAACGTTAAAAAAAAAAAAAAAAGACAGGCTTGAAAATGGAGCCTAGAAGCTGTTGAGAATGATTTGGGATAGCAAGACAGGAGGAGGGAGAATTACAAGGTCTATGTTGATCAAGGCCCATGTATGGATAAATGGACGTATTAACATTAGCCTCCTCTGAATAACTAACTGGATGCTGAACTGGAAATGCACTGAGTATGTAGTAGCTGCCAGAGTCAAACCCTGGGTTTCAGAGGACATGCTACATGACATTATTCATTAGAATATATTATATTGTCTTATTCATTAGAACATATTATATTGTCTTATTTTTAGTTATTTTTAAAAATAGCATTCTTCTTTCTCTTTCATGACAATTAACAGGACAAAATAAGATAAATTATGAAAGGATACATCCACTGAACACAGGACAAGCCAGCTGTGCACCATTCCAAAGCTTAGGTCTTTCTTAAGAATGTCTGCAGCACAGAGAGTGTGGAGTTATATGCATCTAAGCGCTAGGGCCTGGGTGCTACAGCCAAAGTTACAATTCACTTGCAGCTCACATTCTAATCGAGAACCCAGGGAGCAGTCCTGGAAGTCTCAGAGTGCGGTCCTGTGTGTATTCAGGCATTCATTAAATGTACGCTTATTAGCAAGGAAAAGCGATGCTGCGGACATACAAATGACTCTAAGCACAGCAAAGTCCTGGCTCAACTCTCTGACGGGCTGCAACTTGAATCCAGTGGTCTCTTGTAGCGGTGACTTTGATTAGTGCAATGCAGCATTTGTCGGAGCATTTGTCAGGCAAGAAGAAGCCTCTCTTATACTCAGATACCAGACACAAGGTGTGCAAGTAATTCCCACCTCCAGAGCCCATTCATAAGTGCAGAGTGGGCCTCTCTCGGTCATCAGATGATCTTCAGTCAAAGCTGGGTTGCCTCTGAAAGATATATGCCTACTATACTATTGAGGCCTCCTTTCTACCATTTATCTAACATTCTAATTAATTACCAATCTGTTTGATTTATGAAAGATGATGCAGTTTGACATGCAGTGAGTTGATTAGATGACTAAATTGCAGAAATGGCTAGAGTAGCCATTTTGGGGAAGGGTGTCAATTTCTGATCTAAAGCTGTGATCACCTCCTTACATGCGCCCAAGCTATAAGAAGGCAGCTGGTTATCCTGAATCTCAAGCTTTTCTAGACAGATGTGATCCCTCAAAAAGAATCGAAATCTGGATAAGGGGCTAAGGTTGACCCATGTCATCCTGTTGTTCAGTTTGTGAGTGACACAGAGCACATGAAATCCAGCATTTGCTCAGTATCCTGCATCTTAACCATAAAGACTGAGAATCTGAAATGGACCAGTGTTCCTTTGTGATGTGTAAGCACGCTGAGGATTCAGGAATGAGAATCGCATCCAAAACACATCAGGATCACTTGTTGACACACATCTGAAAGGCTAAGGGAAGAGCCAAACGGAGGTCAACAACCTCCTGACTGATATATTTGAAAACTCACATCTGTAAAGCAATCACAAGTACACCCCAAAGGCCTCCGATTCCATCAACTCGGCACCACAAGTGTGTGGCTACAGCTATTTATTTGCTCATCCATCTAGATCAAGAATGGACGGCAGCTGCCTTAGGGCTCCAGTGAGCTCACCCATGGCCAGCAAGATTCTGGTCAAGAGACTAGGAAAGAATGTCAACAACCATCTGACTGACAACGGTGATCAAGTCACTGTGCAGTCAGTGAGAATTCTTGGCTACAACGCTGGCACACTGAAGATGCTTTTGGAATAAGTGAGTTTGACTCTGAACAGTTTTCTTTTTTCCTTTCTTTTTGTCTTTCTCTGGCCAGTTCCATTCACACAGAAGACACCTCTTCTGACTTTCACTAGTCATCAAATATTTATTGAAAATTATGTAGTCTTAGGTTCCCACAAAGACTGTGGGTAACTTAAAGAGCTTAGGACTTGGAGACTTTGGTGTCTGTGTTTTCCCTAAGAAATGCCTGTGGGGGGAGGAGTCAGAGACAGGAAGCAGAGACAGATTCGGTGGCTCCCAAAGTCCTGTGAAGCTCCCTGGGGGGTCTGTTTCCTCTAGTCAATTTGGAATCAAATGTTTATCTTTCCTATTACAGAATTGGCTAATTCACTCATGAATATTTATCAGTCATCACTTACATTCCAGAAATATTTCCTAGGACCTTGGGGGATAAAGTAGGAAACAAGACAGACAAGAATAATTGCGCTTATGTAAGTCTACTCTCATGACTAAAAAGGACCAAGGAGCACATAGCACAGATCTATACAGATAGATACATATAGATACATGCATACAGAGTTACATACACATACGTACATACATACATGCCGATTTATAGAAACAAAGAGCTAGAGGGATATCAACAGGAATCTGTTCAGAGGCCAATACATGTACACATACATTAAAAGAATTTTAAACCAAAGCTTTTTCTAAGGTTGTGATTGACATTGCATGATTTTCCGTAAGAGGATAATTGAATGGGAAGGTATATAGAACTAAACGACTCACCTAGCACTTTCATAAAAAATGGCTGCATATTACATTTGCAATAAAAATATTTTTTTTGGCAACATGCATTTCTCTAGCAAGGAATTAGACCAGATCACTGATATCCCACATTCTTTTTACAATGAATAGAATTTACCAGGAACTTTCTTTATTAACCATTTCCTTACTTAATAACCAAGATATTAGGGACAACATGACTTCTGGTTTAAGGTGACTCTTGGGTTCTTCAGTGACTCCTATTAATCCCTGGCTCTTGGCATTCACACTAAGGGGTGATCCCTTCTTTGAGGTAGGGGCTAGATGTAGCGAGTCACTGTTATGTTCTCTTCACTCTCCATCCCCTCCTATTTTCCCTCCTTTACCCTCCAGTCTCTCACCATCAACAGAAGATTCTTGTGCCTGCCCAAAACAGAGGCTTTGCAGAAATAGATCACCTGGAGGAGAAATGAGGAATCCAGACAGTAGCCAGCCCAATGTCAGTAGGGCATTTCAGTCCATTTCTATCTCTATAGAAAAAGACCTGAGATACTTATGTAGAAGGGAAGAGGTTGACTTTGGCTCACAATTTCAGAATTCCCAGACCACATCCAGGCAGAATGATAACTTTCAGGCCTTTATGGGTGTAGGTGTGGGAGTATTGAGATGGTTCTAGATAGCAGTAGTGAAGAGCCTGTGATGGAAGACACCGTCCATCTCATGGGATAGGGAAGCAAAGAGGACAAAGCAGTGGCCAGAGCCCCACAGTCCTCCTTGGACATACCACAGTGCCTGAGCACTGTTCACAGGGCTCCATCTCTTAATCATTCACCCCTACCACCGCCCTGTTCACCAAATCTTTAACACGTTGGCCTTCTGGAACATTTGATGCCCAGTCTAGGGCTGGACAGGTGAGAAGTATCACCTCTAATTCCATCAAGTCTCCAACAACATAACCATAGCCAGCATACTGTGTGCAACCTTACAAGAGACCTGGAGTTGAAGTCATGGAATAGAAGTTTGCTAATTTTAAGCAACTGAAGTTTGGGATAATTCATTTTTACAAAAGAATGAGATCAATATAGAGTCCAAGGAACTGAGTCTTTTGGGCAGAATTATAAGAACAAAGGAATTCAAAACTTTCATACCATAGAGTGCTAAGCCTTGAACTGATAGATGAATATTAGAACATCATATTGATATCATTAGAATGAAGAAACAAAACTTGTAGCAAAATCACACTTTACTTGCTTGTTTGATATACTGAGTTTGTTATATTTAAGTATGTGATCATACTCAAATTACCCAGAAATTTTCTTTTCTCTTTTTTCTTATTATTAGTAATAGTATTTTTGTCAGTTGTGAGGCTTGAACTTGGGGCCTGGGTGCTGTCCCTGAACTCTTTTGCTCAAGGCTAGTGCTCTATCACTTTGGCCCAAAGTGGTAGAACACTAGCAATGAGCAAAAGCACAGCACTATTTCTAGTTTTTGAGTGGTTAATTGGAGATAAGAGTCTCACAGGGACTTTTCTGCCTGGCTTTGATCTGTGATCTCAGATTTCAGCCTCCCCAGTAGCTAGGATTAGAGGTGTGAGCTACCGGTGACCAGCTCACAAGTTTTTTTTTTTTAAAGAAGAATTTTAGTTAGCCAATAAGCAATGACGTTCTTACCTCCAAAGAAGTACTTCTCCCCCGTTTTCACTTGCAGAGGACTATTTGTTCTGACAGCCGATGCTTCATCGCCATCGATGGTGAGAACAGCGAAGTTTTCCTTGGCAAGGAAGCGAACCTCATGCCATTGCCCGTCGTTCAACGCAGACCCTGGTGGACACAAAACAGAAGTCAGCATCTTTTCTTATAATGGTTCCGTGAGCTGCAATTCAAATAACGTTATCCGTTGACAAACCAGAAGTATATTACATTTATGGAATACAAAGGGATGTTTGGATATATGCATATAAGGTAGAAGAATTAGATCGGATTAAATATCATCGACTTGGCTGAGACACTGGAAATGTACCCTTGGCTATTGTGGGCTATAGAACATATTAATTGCTACTGATTACAGCCACCTAGGGCGTTCCTGATGAGGTGGGACAAAGTTTTCACTAGTCAAGGGGAATGTATGTGGGGTTTTTTGGTGTGATTTCAGGGCTCCAACCCAGTCCTCACACTGGCCTGGCTTGCCTGATTGCCTGGGCCTCTAACAGTTGAGCTATGCTTCCAGCTTTTTGATGGTTAACTGGAGATGGAGTCTTAGAGTTTTCTGCCCAGGCTGGCTTACATCTCAGGCCCTGTCTTCCACATCCCATTCCACTGAACAGCTAGGATGACAGACAGGAGTAATTACTAGCACTTGACAATGAACACAAACTTTAATATCAACGGAGTTTGTGGTTTGGAAGAAGTAAATTTTTTTCATCAAGGAAACTTGCAGCATATCTTATAACTTGTGCTATCTGATGGTTCTTTCATATCATAGCTGGCTCTGTCTTCCATGGGACTGAATAGAGCATAATATAGCCCAACCAGAAAGGAAAAGTTAGAATGACATTGGGGTATTTGGGAAAAAGAATGCTTGAATGAAATCATTTGAGAGGTCATGATGAACTACGCTAAAAACCTATTTTCTGGTTAGATTTCCTAGATCCCACTCTGAGATAAGAATACATTTTAATAGTCTTTAATGTAATGTCTTTCTTGATTGGTAAAACATTATTATTACTATTATTAGTAATAACATATTATAGTAATATTATTATAATATTATAACATAATATAAATTATATTATTATATTATATATAATTTATATTACATAGTATTATTATAGTGTTACAATAATACTATATAATATTATAATATATAATATACTAATATAATACTATTATTAGTATTTGGAGAGTCTAGGTCTAGTTACTTTCAGGACTCATATTTGGAAAGTACAGCTTCCAGAAATTAACTATTACCAAAAACGTGAGAATATGTATAGTCATATATGCTTATTAGCACATTTATGATCATGGGAAACGATATTGCAATGTTCTGATCATTTATCACTATAAGAAAGTAGGTTATCGATCTTGCTAGCTATGTCCTTTGCCATGCAGAAGCTCTGCATTTCATTTAATCCCAATTGTCCAGCCTTTCTTTGATTTGTTGTGTTTCTGAGTCTCTTTTGAGAAAATTTTGGCCTGTGCCAAGGAGACCTAGATCTATTCCATCCTGTAATGTTTTCAGGGTGTCTGCTTTGACTCCGAGGTCTTTGATCCATTTGGAGTTGATTCTGGCGCAGGGTGATATATAAGGATCTAGCTTTAGTTTTCTACAAGTGATTAACCAGTTTTTCCAGCACCATTTACTGAAGAGGCTCTTTCTTCCATTCTATTTTATTATCTCCCTTATCAAAGATTAGATGGCTATAGGTCTGTGGGAGAAGATCTTCACTAGTCATTCAATGGAAAAGGGCTTCATATCTAAAATATACCAGGGACTCAAAAAATTAAATTCCCCAACAACAAATCTTCAAGAAAACAACTGCCCAATAAATAAGTAGGCTAAAGACTTAAAGAGAAACTTCTCTGAAGAGGAAAGAAGGATGGCCAATAGACATATGCAGAAATGCTCAACCTCCCTAGCCATAAAAGAAATGCAAATCAAAACAACATTGAGATACCACCTCACCCCAGTTAGAATGGCTATAATTAAGAACTCTAATAACAACAGATGCTGGAGGGGATGTGGACAGAAGGGAACCCTACTGCATTGTTGGTGGGAGTGTAAACTTGTTCAACCACTTTGGAAAGCAGTATGGAGGTTCCTCAAAAGACTCCACATAGAGCCCCCCTATGACCCAGCAATCTCACTTTTGGGCATTTACCCAAATGATCATAAACAAGACCATACTAAAGCTACCAGCACAATTATGTTTATTGCAGCATTATTTACCATAGCTAAGATATGGAAAGAATTTAGGAAATACTAAAATAGAGAGAATTCCAAGAGAGCCACAGTGACCTTGATTTGACTTTGCTAAACCTAGGCTGTGGTAAAGGTCAAAATGGGTTTATTCCAGTCTCTTCCAGACTGCAAATGCGAGTTTCGATCAAGAACCGGTAGATGGAAGTACCTTGAGGCTACATGTCAGTTCCACAAAAGACAGAATTAGCATGTAAAAACATTTAGAATGAAACTGGAGTGAAGGAGTGAACAGAAAGAATGTCAACTCCTAAATACTTCCACCAGCAGTCTACAAAGCATACTTGCTGGACTGTATCCAGCTTTGAGTCACTCATTTTAGCATGAACTGGGAAGTAAAAATGGCTTTTACATTACTAAATGATGGAAAAGATGTGAACCATTTGATTTTGGTTCCCGGGTATTTATCTACATTTATCTTGAGTTGGGGGAGGGAAGGGAACAACAGAATGGTGAGAGAAAGGGTGAAGCAATGCACCAGCGATATTCACAAGACAATATGCTAGAAATGACCTGGGGGGTGGGGAGTGTGGGGAGGAGGAAAAATAGGAGAAAAATGAAGGAAGGGGTAACAAGTTTGACGGGAAATGCACTTATTACGTTACTTAGTAACTGAAACCCTCTGTATATCACCTTGACAAAAAATACGAAAAAAAGAAGAGACAGGGAATACTATTCAGTGAAAGGTAAACGTGTCCATAGAAAGTTTTATGGAAACAGTGAAGCTCACTTGTCTGCTGTCCTCTCTACAACACTTTCAATAGTTTAACTAGGAGACCCCATGGTAACAAGAGGCTGGAACAGGACTAGGAGGTTCTTTTCAGAACAAAAGCATTAACAAATGATTGGCACACTATGAAACAAAGTACTAGTACAAAATAGTTTAGCCTGTGGTAGCTTAGAAGCTATTTATGTACTCATATTTATACAAATCATTTCTCCTAGGGTATTTCTTTACGGCTTTCAATTTTTAATGTACAGTGTTGAACACAGATTTTGTTTATTGATTGATTTGTTTATTTTATTATCCTTAAAGAAGTTGTAACAAAGCAGTTTGTGAACACCATGCATCTCAACCAGTGCCACGTCTCTCAACATTCTCGCCCATTGCTCCCCTACCCGCCCTTTCCCTTACTCTTCTTAATTTTGTATGAAATGCAAATTTGACAGCATTCTACCCCTCTTCTCCCCTTCACTGTTTTAATGAAGGACAATACAAATTATTCTAGAGTAGTTCATACGAGGTAATCCTCAAATTATAAAATAGATCATACGCGGATTTATTTTTATGTAATACTTATTTTTTTCTATACACCCAGAGAGAGAGAGAGAGGCAGGGAGAGAAGTACTAGTGTAAAAGTGTGCAGATATTGGATCTAAGACGTTCCTTTTTCTCACATGTTCATGAGCCTCCATTGGTTGTACACGGACGATTCGTGTTGACACGTGTCTAATGTGCCTACAATGTGCCTTGATCAGCATCACCGCCCATAGCACTCTTCTCCTCTCCTCATTGGCCCTTCCCAAACCAGCCCAACAAGCATCACACATGCAGGTGGATTATTTTGTCTTGATTTCCCTTCCTTCACCCTCTCCGTTTGTCCTCTCCACTCCCCTTAGGACCTTTCCACCCCCAGCAGGAGCAGTTTCAACATTTCTGTCATTGTAACTGTATGTCAGTGCTTCAGAGAGACTGCATCATAGTCTTCCACACATGCTCACACAGTACTTTAACCGGAGTGACCCCCGGCCCACTCGCGTTTCCCAACCCCGTTACTCTGCTGTTCAACTGATTTCAGCAAATTTCATTGCGCCATATGGTCTGGAGTATGTCAACCCTCACTAACTGGTTTCTTTGCTTCTGTTGTTTCTACTTAGAGTCTATTCTCCCTATAAATGTAGTGTTATCCTATTTTTAAAAACACGCAATTAGGATCTCAGCATTTCCCTTTCAACAGCTTTCCGTTGCTTCTCAACTCCCTATCAGCACTAGCTAAAGGCACCAAGGTGAGTGAGTGGCGTCCTGAAAGCCATCTGGCCCACCTTCTGCGAATTGTCCATGTGGTTTTGTTCTCTCAATTCAGGTCTCTGTATAAATGTCATTTGATCAGAGAAGCCGTTCCTAACCACCTCATGCGAAATAGCCTTTTCCTCTTACCATACTCCCTCTATGCCTTTGTTTTTTTCTCATAGAAACTCTCATTTACCAAATTAACTGGTGTTCACTGCTTACTTTAGTTGCTTATGCTTTCTCTTGTACCATAGGGGATAAGCTTGCTGAGGTCAGAAATGTTGTCTGCCCCAAACCCTCACATTGCAGACAATGCCTGGTATATAGTGTGTGTGAAAAGGTGAACGAGTCCAAGCAAGGGCTATGCAGAGGGAAGCTGGCATTTTTCTGAGTGTCAGGGATGGCCAGGTGGAGGGTAGAATACCACGGCAGTTTGGAAGAACAGCGCTGGGATTGCTGAACACAGCTTCTGTGCTAGAGCAATTAGAAGCAATGGGCTTGACTCTAAGGCTCAGAAACAAGTCCAGTCCCTCAAATTTATTCTTGTTACGTTGTCAGCAGGTCTTTCTGCAAATCGGCCTCACCTTAAACACATCCACAGCTGGTGTTCCTCTATTATGGAGTTTCCAGTAAGGCAAATTCTCCCTGGTTGTTACCAGCAAGCTTCACACACGACAGTGACAAGTGTTGCTGGTCTGCCTAGAAATGCCAGGGATGTGAGGGACAGAAGTTTCCAGCATGATTGGATCCACATGGCCATAGCAGAGAACTCTGTATTGAAAAAGTTTCTGATGGCTTTCTACCCTTTCTTGTTACTGGACTGTTACAGCATTA